TAGCTTGGTTTCCTGATCCACCAATCGTGCGCCTTTCAGATCTACCAATAAGCCATAATGTGTGAGGAAATCTGCCCCAATAATGGGCCTGGCCACGTCAGCTACCACCATTTTCCATGGAAAGCTTCTTCTTAACCCGAAGTTTACATCCATCATCATATTGCCATATGTCTTAATCGGTGTACCATTTGCCGCGTACAAAATGTATTCGCCGCTTCTGCGACGTTCCCTACAGCGCTTTGCGGGGTACACGCTCACATCTGAGCCTGTGTCTATCAAATAGGTGCATTTCGTTTTTCGATCAGTTAAGAAAAGGCGGCACGATTTTTCTGTCGGCCCGATTGCCGCTACATTGGCCCGACTCTCTAGTTTTCCTGCCTCGGGGGTGCGTACTTACACGGCGGTACGCATTTGTGTGCGTTCTTGCCCCATTTATAATGGTACCAACAATCATCATACCTTTTCTTGTCGTTTTGGTGTCGAACGCGGTTCCCGCTCGCGCTCCTGTCGCGGGAACTACCGCGCCATCTTTTTCGCCATGGACCACGCGACCTGGTCGTCAACTGTTCCACCATCTTGGTTAGTTCTTCCACCTTCCGCTCAATGGCGGAAATTCCGGATGGCTTCTCTACCGCCGCCATGTTGCTTTGAGGGCCTTGTGGCGCCAATTCGTATACTTTGTCCGCCAAAATCGTGGCGTCTTCTAATGGTGCTTTTTCCTGTGTTGCTAATATTGTTTGCACCGACTGCGGCAGTCTACCGGACCAAATGCTCTTTAATAATTTTTCCGGTACCGCTTCTCCTGCCAGACTCTTGAGATGCCTTAGAAATTGGCTGGGAGTGCGATCCCCCAGTTCTTCTCTTTCCAGTAGCTGACGTAGCTTCTTGTCCTCTGACTGGGACAATCTTGCCACAAGCTGCCTCTTCAAGGTGTCATATTTGTCCACTATCGGCGGGTTTTTTATAATGTCTGCCACTTCTCTAGCGTAACGACCCTCCAGATTGCCGACCACGTATGCGAACTTTGTCGCGTCCACCGTTATTCCGGCCACGAGGAATTGTCCCTCTAACTGAGCGAACCACATCTCGGGTTCTTCTACCCAGAAAGGAGGCACTTTCACGCTCACTGCCGCGACCGACGCGTTCCCAGAACCCTCGTGTGCCATTGTCTCTGACTTCGATAAGAAAAACGCTTCCCAAACGTAAAATGCAAAAAGAAAAATAGGAATGTTACCTATCACGTCGGGGTCACCAATTGTGGGAGCGTTTAGAGTAAATACACGAGGTTCTATAACTCAACAACTATTTATTCAGGACTGGACATATAACTCGTACTGCGCGTATGGCTAATGGCGAACGAATGAAATGACGAACGGCGTCGTTCTCTCCCGCGCTCGACTACTTCCTACACGCTACGCTAGGTAGCGTCGCTAGCGTGCTACCAACTCCCCTATAGGGAATTCGCGCTTGCACGCCACATCACCCCCCTTCCAGTTAATCTCGTATGGAGGTACATTTGATTTCAGGTACTGTTCGTCTTAATTTTAAACTCGCGTTAGCATACAAAATACGCTTACAGTCTTACTTTCACTTACATCGGTATACAAAATACGCTAACAGTCTTACTTTTACTTACATCGATGTACAAAATACCTTAACATATTATAATTTTACATATAAAATATAAATGATATAGGAACTATAATGATGACTAAGTAAATTACACCGCAGTTGCAATATATACTATAGTCGCATAAAAGAAAAATATTATTACTCCTTTTCATTCTAATTACACCGCGAAACGCACGCGTCTACTCTCTTTGGTTTTAACAGACTTTAATGCTTCGAGACAAACCTCAGTCTTATAAGCGGGCTTAACCCTATCTATTGCTACTTTAACGCTCCTGCCATTCACTTGAATGGTAAAATGCTTATTACTTCGCTCGATTACTCTGTGCGGACCTGAGTAAGGCGGCTGCAACGGTTTCCTTACACCATCCTGCCTTAGGAACACATGTGTTGCTTTTTCTAAGTCTTTGAAAACGAATATTTTACCTGGCCCGTGCCTCATCGGCTCGACTGGCCTCATTCTGCTGATCTTTTCCTTCAATTGATGCACGAACTGGGATGCCTCCGTCTCAGCACCCCGAACCAAAAATTCCCCGGGTAAACGGATTGTTTCGCCATACACCAACTCTGCAACCGACGCCTTCAGGTCATCTTTAAACGCTGCTCTGATTCCCAGCAGAACCAATGGCAGTGACTCAGCCCACTGGTCATTCTCCCAACACTTAATCGCGGCTTTTAGCTGCCGGTGAAATCTCTCTACCATCCCGTTGGCTTCCGGGTGGTATGCCACGGTTTTAAGGTGCTGGGCTCCTAATAGGCGCGTCAACGCGCTGAATAGATACGATTCAAATTGTCTTCCTCTATCCGTGGTAATGCGCAGTGGAATTCCAAACCTCGCAATCCATCCCTCGAGAAAAGCCTGCGCTACCGCCTCCGCTGTAATATCCGCCAGCGGAATCACCTCCGGCCATCGTGTAAATCTGTCCACGCAAGTCAGGCAGTATGTGTAACCCTTTGAACGTGGTAAAGGTCCCACCAAATCAATGTGGACATGCTCGAACCTCCTCGAAGGCGTTGGGAAACTTCCTACTTCCGGCTTGCAATGTCTTCCAACTTTCGCCTTTTGACATGCTATACACTGCTTCGCCCAGCTTTTCACATCCCTCTTGATATTGGGCCAAACGAACCTGTCCGTAATCAATTTTACCGTTGCCTTAGCCCCCGGATGACTCAAGTTGTGTATCGCCATGAAAGCCTGTCTTCTGTACTTCTCTGGAAGAAACGGCCTCGCTTTTCCGGTCGATATATCGCAATACACTTCTACTCCTGCGTCAGGCAAAACTATTTTTCTAATAATGAGGATTCTCTCACCCTCTGCATTTCGTCATCCGTCACTTGGTCTTGGGCCAAAGTCTCGTAGTTAATGGTCGCCGTCACCTCCTCTATCCTTGACAGGGCATCGGCTACAGTATTATCCTTTCCTGCCACGTGCTGAATGTCCGTGGTAAACTGCGAAATGTAGGACAGATGTCTATACTGTAACGGCGTACACTTCTCCAGTTTCTGTCTGAAAGCGTAGATCAATGGCTTATGGTCCGTGAATAATGTAAAATTTCGACCTTCTAACATATGCTTGAAATATTTGACAGCCTGATAGGCTGCCAACAACTCCCTGTCATAAGCGCTATACAACGTCTGCGCTTTGTTAAACTTTTTACTGAAAAAGGCCAATGGTTGCCATCTCCCATCTACACGCTGCTGGAGTGAAGCCCCTGCCGCCAGGTCCGATGCATCCACAAAAACGGCCATCTCCGCTTCCAGAGACGGGTACGCTAACAACGCTGCACCAGCTAGGGCCTCCTTAGACTGGTCAAAGGCTTGCTCCGATTCTCGAGTCCAAAAAACCGGCTGTTTTCCACTTCCCGGGCCCTTTATCAAATCTTCCAAAGGTGCCAGTACATCCGCGATCTTTGGCAGGAATCTTCTATAGAAATTCACCATTCCTAAATAGCGCCTTAATTCCGTAATCGTCCTCGGGCGTTGCACATTCCTAATAGCCGCTACTTTCTCTTCTGGCGGCTTAATTCCTTCCTGATCCACAGTGTATCCCAGGAATGTAACTCTCTTCTGAAAAAATTCGCTCTTGTCTAAATTAATTACAACGCCGTACTGCTGGAGCCGGGTGAAAAACTGCTCCAGATGTTCTTTGTGCTGGACCTCATTATCGGAAGCAATTAGTATATCATCGATAAAAACAAAACAGAACTCCAAGCCCCTCACCACCTCGTCCATGAATCGTTGGAATGACTGCGCGGCATTTCTTAATCCAAAAGTCATGTATAAAAATTCGTACAAACCAAATGGAGTTATAATTGCTGTTTTTGGCACGTCCTGTTCCGCCACAGGGATCTGGTGATAAGCCTTTACCAGATCGACCTTCGAAAATATCTTCTTTCCTTGTAAATTCTGCGAAAAACTCTCTATATGCGGAACGGGGTACCTGTCGGGAACTGTCCTGCTGTTCAGGGCTCTATAGTCGCCGCAGGGTCTCCACTGTTTATCCTTTTTGGGCACGAGGTGGAGAGGGGATGCCCAACTGCTCCTTGATGGCCTTATTATTCCATGTTGCAGCATCGACTGGAACTCTCTCTTTGCAACAGCCAACCGATCCGGTGCCAATCTTCTTGCTTTGGCAGCCAGAGGAGGACCCGGTGTGGTCGTGATATGGTGAACCGTTGTGTGCCTCGGTGGATGGACATGCTGCGCTGGCCTAGTAACACTAACAAACCTCTGTAGCAATCCAGCAACTAGCGGGCTTACATTCGCATGAGATATAGATTTGATTGAATCTGAGGTGTATTGCCAACCACCCTTTGCAGTTAGCTTGGTTTCCTGATCCACCAATCGTGCGCCTTTCAGATCTACCAATAAGCCATAATGTGTGAGGAAATCTGCCCCAATAATGGGCCTGGCCACGTCAGCTACCACCATTTTCCATGGAAAGCTTCTTCTTAACCCGAAGTTTACATCCATCATCATATTGCCATATGTCTTAATCGGTGTACCATTTGCCGCGTACAAAATGTATTCGCCGCTTCTGCGACGTTCCCTACAGCGCTTTGCGGGGTACACGCTCACATCTGAGCCCGTGTCTATCAAATAGGTGCATTTCGTATTTCGATCAGTTAAGAAAAGGCGGCACGATTTTTCTGTCGGCCCGATTGCCGCTACATTGGCCCGACTTTCTAGTTTTCCTGCCTCGGGGGTGCATATTTACACGGCGGTACGCATTTATGTGCGTTCTTGCCCCATTTATAATGATACCAACAATCATCATACCTTTTCTTGTCGCTTTGGTGTCGAACGCGGTTCCCGCTTGCGCTCCTGTCGCGGGAACTACCGCGCCATCTTTTTCGCCATGGGCCACGCGACCTGGTCGTCAACTGCTCCACCATCTTGGTTAGTTCTTCCACCTTCCGTTCAATGGCGGAAATTCCGGATGGCTTCTCCACCGCCGCCATGTTACTTTGAGGACCTTGTGGCGCCAATTCGTATACTTTATCCGCTAAAATCGTGGCGTCTTCTAATGGTGCTTTTTCCTGCGTTGGCAATATCGTCTGCACAGACTGCGGCAGTCTACCGGACCAAATGCTCCTTAATCATTTTTCAGGTACCGCTTCTCCTACCAGACTCTTGAGATGCCTTAGAAATTGGCTGGGAGTGCGATCCCCCAGTTCTTCTCTTTCCAGTAGCTGACGCAGCTTCCTGTCCTCTGATTGGGACAATCTTGCCACAAGTTGCCTTTTCAAGGTGTCGTATTTGTCCACTATCGGCGGGTTTTTTATAATGTCTGCTACTTCTCTGGCGTACCGACCCTCCAGATTGCCGACCACGTATGCGAACTTTGTCGCGTCCACCGTTATTCCGGCCACGAGGAATTGTCCCTCTAACTGAGCGAACCACATCTCGGGTTCTTCTACCCAGAAAGGAGGCACTTTCACGCTCACTGCCGCGACCGACGCGTTCCCAGAACCCTCGTGTGCCATTGTCTCTGACTTCTATAAGAAAAACGCTTCCCAAACGTAAAATGCAAAAAGAAAAATAGGAATGTTACCTATCACGTCGGGGTCACCAATTGTGGGAGCGTTTAGAGTAAATACACGAGGTTCTATAACTCAACAACTATTTATTCAGGTCTGGACATATAACTCGTACTGCGCGTATGGCTAATGGCGAACGAATGAAATGACGAACGGCGTCGTTCTCTCCCGCGCTCGACTACTTCCTACACGCTACGCTAGGTAGCGTCGCTAGCGTGCTACCAACTCCCCTATAGGGAATTCGCGCTTGCACGCCACACCTGCTTTCCCACTTATTTATTTATTGTATCACGTACTCAAAATATAACATTACGATAAGCAATACGTACGATTAATCTACACTAATTTAATAAAAGAAGGTGTCAGTCGAATATAAAAAAATATTTTTCTGTAGGTAATCCATTTATCGAGGAATGCTGTAGGCTATATAACATCACATTTTGACCACAAAGACCGGAACAATAAGCATAAATGTTAGTCAATCTATATATAAATCTGAGTTCAATTTTTTATACTGTGGCGTGCAAGCGCGAAGTCCCTATGGGGGAATTGGTAGCACGCTAGCGACGCTACCTAGCGTAGCGTGTAGGACATAGAATAGCGCGGGAGACAACGACGCCGTTCGTCAATTCATTCGTTTGCCATTAGCCATACGGTGAGTACGCATTGTATATCAATCCGGAATAAATAGTTGTGTTAGAGAACCTCGTGTATTTACCCTAAAACGCACCCACAATACGTTGTGTCGTCACACAAAAACTACCAAATTCACAAAATTTTGCATAGACGTAGGTCCGATGCTGTATATGGTTTTAGGATAGTTTTGTGGTGATCAAAATTAAAGAAATATCACAAAGGTTACCTTATGTAAGGTAATCAGGAATGTTTTTGGTAACAGGTAAAGTATACCAAATAAACTTGTGGGCGATTTTAATAAATATACTGCAATACTTTACTAATAACGTCTCGCGACAAATGCCAATACAAGAGTGTCTTCCTAGACACGATCTTGTCTTGAGGACACCCCCGTTAGCATTGCTGTTTAGGGCACTTAGGCCCAGCGAAGTTCCCTGAGAAAGGGGAAATGCAATGATAAAAGGCACATGGCCTGTGTCGACCGTTCGTCGATTTTTATTTTCTAACTCTTATTTACAATTTCACGTGCATTTTCGCGGCAAAAATTACGTCATATACGTCGCCATGATGTCATACCTGTTGCATATTCTCTATTACGAGAGTGCACAAAGAAGGAGCTCTGTAACAGTTACAAGTTCTTCAACAAGACAGACTTCAAGAATTGGACCGTTTATTTTGAATGTACTGTAAGTCCATTTGCATGAATATATATTATTTTAGATAAATCATCTAAAACAAATTTGTATAATCAAATGACATATAGATCAATCAGTAAAAAAAATTCCTGAATTGTCAATCTTGATATGATTAACCTATATTTTTCATTGACATATATGCTAACTTTAATTTTCTGAAAATAAATGAAAATGGACTCATACCATTTTCAAAATAAATGGGTCAATTAATTGCTATGAAATTTCATTGCCTAATTCAGACAATAGTTTCTTTAATATTCTAATCATTACAAAAAGTATATCTCATGATTGATATTGCCTTTTCTTCAAATATAAAACCCACAAATTTCATGAATATGTTATTCTCTCATTCAACCTTGCAAATGATATTTATTATAGTCCTGCAAAATGGGTAGATCAGCTAGTTAAGAATAAAACTAAAAATAGATGCGAAAGAACATAGAATTTGGCAGATAGAATTTTTGTGGGTTTTCCAAGCGAATTATTAAACTTTCAGTGATCAATATACGAATGTTTCATATTTCAGTTTAAGCGCAATTATAAGTTATTATACAAACAATATTAAATTAATAAATTGCATGTAAAATACTGTGGCTTATTTCGGAATAACTTACTAATCCAACATATTTCCATTTTGCAGTATAATCTGTCATACCAATGTGCAATTGGTCAAGATTTTATATATAACATTTATTGAGTGTATTTTATTCCATACTTAACATGTTCCAAGTTTATATAATAATTCAGTTTCATTCTGATTGATATGTATGTATTCAATCAATTATAATATTATCATTTTTAATAATTATACTATAACTTATATTTTCAATATTCATTGAAAAATATAAATTCTTTCACTAGAAGTATTTATAGAATTATATTGGGTTAAAGGAATTGTTCTTATAATACAAGTATTTGGGTATTATGATCTTATTAGAATTCAAAGTTAATTTATTAACTATGAAGAAAATTACCATGAGGATATTATTATACAATGGATGCAATAGGTGAATGAATATCTGTGAAAAGAATGCTTTCATTTGGACAGTATGAATATTTTATTATTCTTTACAATTAAATGTAACCTCATGATAATACTATTGTGGAGATGCCAACCTTGCAGCAGCAAATTCTTTGTACAGATCCTTCTCCTATTTAATAACAAACAGATAGAATAAAACGAAATTAAACGACTACAAAATATACTTATTATAATGTACATTTGTGAAATTTAATTTTACGTTGATAGATAACAAAATAAAATGATATTGTGTGGTATGGTATACTATATCTATTATCCACTTATAATCATGCCATGGTATTTTACATAAATATTTAATTTGCATGGTATTTATCAAAGATAACAAGTTAAATGCTGACAAACTGACGAACTAAAAAACAATTTTAGTTAATAAAATAGTATCAAAAATTTCAAACATTGTTTGAAAATGTCAGCACAGGTTAAACATGTCTTCTGTCATATTACCTTTACTTCTGTCCAGTTTCTGTAAAGCTTTTGTGCAAATACTGCTGGCATTGTCAATGGACGCTGAAGGAACAACACTTAAAGCGCGTAAGTACACATTAAATAAAACCTTAAAAAAATTTACTGGCTTTGATAGATTGATGATCAGAATTTTACCTTCCACTGTTTTTTTCTTGTTACCGTTTTGTGAATGTGTAAGAGACTCACTTTCATTACAACCATCTATTATAAAAAGGTCAGTACCTAAAAAAATGATAAACATAAATTATTAGTTGTTGATCGTAGCAACACTACAAACAAACAACTTAAAATAATACAAAATTTTTTTACTATTTTACTCTCAATATACTTGAAACAAGAAAAAAGGAAAAACTAATAAGCACAATATAACATACCTTCTTTGAATTATATATAGATATTTCTTCACATATAAAAGATAATATATGATAATTGTTGTGTTGAATAGTAAATATAATTGACGACTAGAATAATTAGAAACACGAATCATTGTTATTAATATCATTGACTGATGTACTCTCTAGTTGAACAGGGTCTTCATTAGGCATGTAATCAGGCAATTTATTTTCAGAAAAAGATTAATAAATTACTGAAATTCGATAAAATTGAACGAAAATTGTTAACAGAATTCATGTTAGTTTTAGGACAGAATTATTACCTATACTAAACGTTTCATCCGCGAGAGTTCCATTGAATGCATCATTTTCATTGCAGTCTAAAAGCAAATTTAAAAAATCTTACTAGCAGTAAAAGTTTTATGCTGCATCATTGAAGTATTGAAACATACCTCTTGGTAACGAATTGTTATCATATTGGTGTTGTCTATAATCTTTATTAAACATGTTTAAAAATTGCTAGAATGACAATATCTCGGAGATTAAATTATCTTGGGCTAATTTAATTTTGGCACTCTTTTCTCTATTGGTGCGAGTACGAATTCGTGTGACTTTTAGATTTTTTAACAAACGTTCATAATCAATCGTTTCATCTGTTATTAATTTGGATAAATTATCTGTGAACCAATTTTGGACAAAATGTTAATACATGAAATAACAACAATTACACGAACTACAAAACCGTAGAAACTAGCCTAAAAAAATCCATAAATTTGATCGCGTTGTTTGGAATTATTGTTTCACCTTGAAGAAGGACCTCGTAGAAAATTACGCCTTTCCAATCCCACCAAATGGAAAAAAGAACTTTTGTGGGGTGTAGTTCTGCCTTTGCGACAGTTGAAGGCTTATTATCCTTACACCAAGTTGCTTTTTCTATGCACATTTTCATACAAATCCAAGTTTGGCCTCTTTAAAAACGGATCGTTTTCATGAATCTGGAGAAGCAAATCGCACATAGAGATGTGATTCGTAAGTTTGGTCTCGGTCAATAAATGCGGAACCCAAACTTCGCAGCGATTAACATATCCCATCCTGGTTAGGTGATTATGCACTGTTGCTTTGGGAATCCTAGTGGTATTCACTATCTCTCCCGCACATTATATCGAAGATTTTCATCAAGCATGGCCTTGATAAAGTCTGTATCCGTCATTTTTGGGCGACCGCTGCGATTCTAATCTATCAGATTAAAATTTCCCTCTCTAAATCGCCCTGTGGCGTCCTTGGTATCACATACGACGTGAAATTTGATCAAAATTGTACAAAGTTTTATTAAAAAAATTTGCAAAATAATGTTAATTTTTAACATATTTTTTAAACAAATAAATTTTTCAAAAATCCACTTAGGCCATATTATTGGACTTCAAAAACAGAAAAATTTGCACTTTTAATTTTTTGTCTAGGCCTAATAGTTTCTGAGATATTGGAGAAAATATGTTTTGCAACCCCAACTTTGGGGGCCATTTTCACCCCTTCAGCATGGACGATAGCCGATAAAAAAAAATACGTGTCAAATATTTTTTTGCGTTCTATATCATACTCAAAGCGCATCAAAATCGGCGATTGGCGATTGAGTAATGTCCCTTGTTAGTCTTTTTCAATCGTGTTAAACCTTCACTCGATTCCCACAAAACCAATTGCGAATGGTTATAACAGTTATAAGTACCATCCCCGTACACGGTATAAATCTCGTCAACAGTATTCTTTACACTATGATCTTTTTCGAAACAATGCAGCATAACATGCCGTAAATATCGCCTTTTGCTACTCATGTTTAACAATATGGTTGAGGTTTTAAAAAAGACTATGGCACAAACAAAACGTACTGTAAAAGAACTCTGGGATGATTGAAACCGATAACATAGACGTCTAATAGATAAGTCTGTATGTTTACACAAGCAGCGCCAGATGAGACCACTTATATCGCGAAGAGAAAGAAACTTTTAGGACACCCTAATACGTTCGAAGAAATCTTCGAACCTAATACGCTGACCTTCGAAGAAATAGGTAGCCACACATTGCGTAGATTGTCATAAATAGGAGCACATTCGGGGAAGTGCCACATAAATGATCTGCAACTAACTGCATTTGATGTAACGCTTTTAGAAACATATTTCGTGGAACGAAAGGCACTTTGTAATCTTAATTTCCTCCATTTCCTTAATAGAGTCCAAACAATAAGAAAAGGACCATTCAACTCTCCACTGAGCACTTTAATGAGGAAAAAAAAAACATGGTAACGTTAACACTTATACCGCACCTGATTAAAATGAAACTAACAGCCATGTACTGTGACTGTGAGAAGTTGTGCTTGTATCCCTTCCATAACAGCTTTCTCGTAATTGCACATGACAGTTTCTAAGCTATCTTGCAATCGCAGAACAAGACAAACTATTTTTTTCCATATTGCTTTGTACATTGATGAAGTACGAGATTCGCATAAAGCAACAATAGTAGCGATTCCCTGTAAATTGATATCTGTTTTTAGTTTGATAGTATGAGATAACTTTAATAAAAACTATCAATAGTAGTATACTGTGTCATTGTAATGTATGTGTACAGTATAGAGCTGATGAAAAAGAGGCATTCGTGGCACAACCGATTAAGAGATCCGAAACGATAAAAATTAAAAAACTTCCTCTACCCGAAAAAAATTAACATTATAAGTTGTTTACCTTAAATACTTACTGAAAAGGTACCATCCATATATTAGGTTGGAGAAAAAGAAATCAAAGTACAAAGAAATTTGTAACGTCCCGAAATGCGGATCTTTACAGAACGCTTGACTCTGACAGGAGGAGTCTTATTGAAATTGTATTGAATTGCGAGTTTAATTGTCGATGGTTACTGTTGCGTTTATAACTTACGTTCGCACTGGTCGAGCGATTCCTGCCGAATGAACGAGAAAACGTCGTTTTCTTTGCAAGTTTCGACATGTCGCAGATTGTCGTTTGTTTTACCTCTCCCGGCGATCGCGCGCCACGACGTGCTCTGAGTTCATCCTGAGGTGTTACCGACCGATTTTTTGTCGATAATTACAATATATGTCGATAATTTATGTCGATTAATTACCATACAAATTTTTATGTTCCGCTAGAGGTTGACGCTTGGACCGAACAAATCCATTACTTTTACGTGAACTACAAGACTTTATTTAATATGTTTCAGATTGCCTAGTTTGGGTCAAATATGCACAGTTTTGTTCTATAACTTGTTGCCATTTTAAGGGTGGCTTCATAATGCTTTTTTCATAGAAGTCTTGGTTTCTATTGGCGAAAAACTCTAGTAATTGATTTTCACAATCTTCTCTTGATGCCAATTTCTTATCACTAAAAAGTTTTGCAGTACAAGAAAAAGATGGTAATCGCTTGATGCCAGGTCCGGACTATATGGTGGATGTATCAAAACTTCCCAACCAAACTACCAGATTATGTGGTAAGTCATTATAGACGTGTGTGGCCTGACGTTGTCCTGATAGAACACGACACCTCGTCTGTTGGCCAATTTTGGCCGTTTCTGGTCAATCGCTAGCTTCAAACGGTCCAGATGTTGACAGTAAAAATCCGAATTTAGTGTATGGCCCCATGGAAGCAGCTCATAATAAATGATTCCTTTCCAGTCCCACCAAATGCACAGTAGAACTTTTCTAACCATTAGTCCTGGTTTAGCCACCGTTTGAGCTGCTTCATCGCGCTTTGACAACGATCGTTTTCGTATAATGCTGTCGTATGTGACCCATTTCTCATCCCCAGTCGCCATCCATTGAAGAAATGGGTCGATTTCATTCCGTTTGGTCAAGCTTCGCAGATGGAAATTTGATCCATCATGTTTTTTGGTGTTAATTTTGAATCCAGCTTTGTGCAAATGGTTTAAAGCTGTTTTATGGTTCATCTTTAGATCCTGGGCGATCCTACGACTACTAACACGTCCGTTAACTTCGATTATCTCTGTGATTTTATCGACATTTTTTACGACGATCCTGCCTGTGCGGGGTGCATCTTTAATATCAAAAATGCCTAAACGGAATTGACGAAACCAAAATTGCACGCAATTAGCTGTTACAGTATTGAGGCCATAAACACCAATCACAATTTCAACCGCCTGGTTTGCTTTTTCGCCTTTATCAAAGAAAAACTGTAAAATGTACCGAATTTTCTCTTTCTTGTCTTCCATTTTTAACACACTGTAATTTACAACTGAATGGATCAAACAAAAAACACGAAAAGAATTTTTTTAGTGCGAAATGTCACCTTGACAACGAGCATAGTAAATCTGACATTGTTAGCATTTTCTAATGCATTTAGTAGTATGGTGTTTGAAAAAATCAGGGCATATTTATTATAATTTGACATTGCACATCCCTTATAAATATCTTTCAAGACATTATAATTTCCAAGTATTTCATGTGTACTCTGTACAATTTTAGAGAGTAGTGGTCAAGATTTTACTTTTTCTCTGGACATAATAGATTTCATGCTATTGCACGAAATATACGCTGCTGTATCAGGGTTTGTACGACAAATATTATAAAATATCTCCTTATTAATAATGGAAGGATTTTCTCTACATTCCTTTAGCATGATTGACTTCAATTTCAAAACTTCTGCATATTGTATTAGGACGTGTGTGTGGTTTTTGGATATAAGTATATACGGGTGCAATATTTAAATCCACAGG